TCCTAACTGTTTCCGAAATCAAGTTTCACAGGAGTCAATTTTCTGTATACGGTTCACACGTGGAGAAATTCGAATACTTCACGTTTATCTGAAGTTTGTGCTGATGATCTTTTTCAGGAGAGTAATCAAAGCCCCATAGTTAAAACCTCCTTCTCAGGGAACGAAACGCGCTCACAAGCCTAGGAACTATTTGTTGAGAGTTACCTTGCAATCATTGAGTTTGCCAGTCTCCTGCAGAAGTGCTTTGTTCATCTGTTCGTCGTTTAGTGCAGTGCTTCTTAGGTTTCAGTTCGGTTGGAGGACGGTGAGACTGAAAGCAGCAACTTTTGATCTGAGGGAGGCTTTGTCCTGCTACGGGATGAGGACGCTACCTCAATGCCCTTGCCCTCCTTCATTTATCTGGGCCCGAGACTGACAGAATCTCATTAGGTGCTCCAAGCCAGTTATTTGCCTTAACCGATGTTCGTTCAGCACATCTGAGGATAAGTGAATGTAACTTTTAATTTCGAAAACACAATTTCATGCATTTTTGATTATCTGTATAACATTCCCGCAAAGGCTATGAAAGCAGATGTGGAAGCAACTGAAAACATACTTCACATCCTCTTCAAGAAGATTTAGGATGAGAAACAAGTACCATCTGACTGAAAAGAAGGATACCTCGTCAAAATACAAAAAAGTCGATCTCAGCAAGTGTGAGAACTACAGAGGCATCACTCTTATCTCAGTACTAGGCAAAGCCTTCAACAGTGTGTCGTTAAATAAAATGCAGGACTTCGTAGACACCCAAATTCGGGATCAACAGGCTGGATTCCTTAAGGACCGATCGTGTACCGACCGAATCGCAACACTGCTGGTCGTTGTGGAACAATAAATTGAATGGAAATCATCACTCTAAGTCAACTTCATTGACTACGAGAAAGCATTTGATGGCGTGGAAAGGACAATACTACGGTGACTTCATAGACACTATGGCGTCCCTGAGTAGGTGTTCAACATCATACGAAATTCTTACAATGGATTAAACTGCGAAATCGTTCACGGTGGACAGCTGACAGACTTGTTCGAGCTGAAGACCGGTGTCAGACAAAGTTGTTTACCCTCACCCTTTCAGTTTCCCCTGACGATCGACTGGTTTATGAAGATGGCAACATCTGGAGAGAAACATGGTATACAGTTGACAGTCAGGATGCAGCTGGACGAGATGAACTTCGCAGATGATCTGGCTCTTCTATCGCATAAGCAACAACAAATGCAAGAGAAGACGACCAGTGTAGCATCAGCCTCAGGTCTCAATATACATTAAAGGGAAAGCAAGATTCCCTGATACAAAACAAAATGTGCCAACCAAATCACACTTGATGGGAATGCTTTAGATGACATAAAAACCTTTATATAGCTGGGAAGCAATATTGACGAGCAAGGTAGATCTGACGCAGATGTGAAGGCACGGATATGCATAACAAGTGCTGCATTCCTACAAGAGAACAACATCTGGAACTCAAAACAACTGTCAACAAACACCTGAGTCATCATTTTCACTACAAATATCAAGACAGTTCTACCGTGTGGGTCGGAAACTGGGAAAACTACTAAAGCCACCATCCAGAAGATACAAGTATTTGTTGACAGTTGTATACACATCGGATCCGTTTGCCAGACACCATCAGCAACAACCTACTGTGGGAAAATACAAACCAGATCGTAGTAGAGAAAGAAGTTCTGGAAGTGGATAGAACACACATTGAGGAAAGCACTCAACTGAATCACAAGACAAGCCCTCACATAGAACCCTCAAGGTCAAAGGAAAGGAGGAAGGTCAAGGAGCACATTACGCCGAGTGACGGAGACAGTCACGAAAAGAATGAAGAAAAATTGAAAGGAAGTTGAAACGGAAGGCCTGGACAGAGTAGGTTGGGGAATGCTGGTCGGCTGCCTATGCCGCATTAAGTGTAACAGTAGTAAGTCATTAAGGCTGATGAAAGGATGTCACTAGTAAGGCAACGGAATCCGTTTATGGTAATGCGAATAGAGAAGATTCATTTGTACTGACCCGTTAAAGATCATGTAAATTCTCCAGTAACACACATTCACAAAGTAATCTGGATGCTCGAAACTTCAGTATATTTGCTAACTATCTGTAAACTTTCAGGTATTCACCTCTTTTTCTATCGAAAAATTTAGGAAATGAAACTAAAAATAAGATAAAAGATTCTGATTAACTCTATCCTATTGTTTTCCTTGTAAATCTAGGCGAGATATATTCATAGTTATGTTCTTGAGACTGGTTCTTACATTTCCTCTGTCACTTATTTAGGTGTCCATATTCCTAGTGATGCTCACTATTACGTCAGGTAACCAACTCCAAAATTGCAGAGTAGTAGCATCAGTTGCATTATGCTTTTGTCGCTGTGCTTCAAACTTATTCTAGTATTCCGACCTGCAAATTTACAACCTATTTTTATCCTACTGGTTAAGAATAGACCGCTTCAACCTGGAGGTTCTAAAGAGGCTCAGTAGAACATATGAAACCAAAGGAAGACATTGTAAAACCTACGGATGCAATCAATATGCTTTTAGGTATGATTTTACTCACTAGCTGAGTTACTAATAATACAAAATACAAGCGTAAAAAATAAAATTCATGTAATCATAAAACTAAACCACATGTAGTATTATAAAATATTTAAGTTTCATAGAGTACTATATCGATCAGTTGAAACCGCAGTCATACTATCAAGTTCTTCAGGGAGTCAATAATCATAACTGCTTATCCGAGAAATGATTGCTTGTCCAGGCATGATAACAGGGTTCTACGAATAATCAAATGGCATATACGCCATCAAATTAATATTAGTCTCTTCGAAAGAAGCAAAAGTTTTCTAAATACTGCTGTATTTTCGCTCAAAATGTCAGAAATACTAGACATTGCCGAGGGTTGTCTTTCACTACATAAGTGTTAACAGTTTAACCCAGGATGATTTAGAAGGGGTATGATCAGGCTTGTGGCAAATGTAACTATTAACAGGGAAACAAGGGGGCATATATGAAGTTATTGCGTCAAACTATCTTCGCATAAGGTGAATAGGTGCTTTTACCTTGAATATGTTGTATGATATCCAAACTCAGGTCTGGGTTGAGGATTAACTGTCTAGGTTAAATCCAAAACAAGTGATTGGGTAAGTAACACTTCTAGACAATATTACTGCGCTATTCCTTCAATTAATCAAATATATGATATTCTATTCCTCTTATAACACAGAGTGTCTCCAACTCTGGAAGAGTGCTCCAATTTCCAACCCAAATTGCACATTTTCAGTCAGTGTAAGCGCTTCAGCCAACAGAGGAACAAATTCAATATGGCTGTCGTTATAACTAAGTTTCAGCTTAAGCAACATAATGCAGTTTGGTAAGAAACGTAGAAACTCAGTAAAGGCACAAAAATAGAAACTATAATAAAATACAAATATTATCATCTCAAAATGGAATCGAACAGATCAACAAAACGTATAACTAAAGGAATCGATATGAACAAATTACGAATGTACACATGGAGGGATTTTCATAAACAAAGCCTTTCAAAATGGATCTTACATGTGGTTTTAGCTGATGTTTAAGCTCTCCGTGATTACCAACTCGAAATCGCACTTTGAGAAGATATTTTGCAGTGAAATTTGATTTTTTTTTGTGTCGCATCGGGCTGAAAGTTCAATACATGACTTATCGGAAAGACAGGTGTTAACCCATAATTAAATGTCCATTCCTTTGTTGTTGTGAAGTCCTTTTGCAGACTGGGTGAATCGCCTCTTATGAACCATTTTATCAATGTCCAGATTTGTCCTGTTGAGCTAGCATTATTTAAAAGATCATAAACTAAAATGAGGGATAGAGTCGGACCCAAGATGGCCTTTCAAGTAACCGCCGACGTTGAAAGCCGCCAGCTGGCATGCAGTCTATTAGCCGTAATACGAAAATTCCTCTTCTGTTTGTGATTTCATCGACAAGATATAAACGGGACAGTGAGGCTCATTTTATCACCCTCCTCGGTGAGGAGGAATTTGATGAAAGGTCTCCACCAAAATAAGAAGTATTAGGTAGACAGGTATCATTTAGTCCCCGTTGGTCGCGTATCTGCCTTATTCTAAGAAGAGTTTGAACGTATTGAGCCTACATTCATGGGGTGCGTTTATTGTGCATGTGTTCCCATACTTATCTACGCACCATCTCCATCATCCGATAGTGCCGGCAGTAATGCGACTAGTTGCTAATAGGTTGTATCTTCTTTCTCTTCTCATTTCCAGGTTACGAAGAAGGTGGCTTGTTTTCGTCCTTTTGGAAGTTAGTGTGAATCCGGTGGTTGCGCGAACAGTTGACAGACCAGCCAAATGATGGCCTTCGCAAACTGTGACGGGATTATTTTAACAAACTGCTGACGTTTTCAGCGTAGTGATTCTCGATTTCTTGGTATTAATATGGGAGTCAGCTGGATATTCCCCAGACCACTATATAGCACTAGATTTGAGTAGTAATTCATGCTAGCATATACCTGGTTTATCTAGCAATTATGCCTCATTCATATCTAAGTTAGCAAGACCTTCGCCATTAGAACCTTTAGGAGCAAAAGCATCTTGGCTTGTAGACTTTTACAGTCGTGTAATCATCGAGATATTTTGGGTTTGATTGTGTACTGATCATAAGAAACAGTGAAAAAGGAAAGGAATGTATAATTTAGCACCAAAAATGGATGGCGACAAAAAATATTTCTGATGACTCTGATTGGATTACGACGTTACTATTTGTTTTTGTCAGTGTAACACCAGATACAATAATAGGCTTTTTAATATGACCCTTACAACGTACTTCATTTGAAACAAATATGTGGAAAAGTATAAATTTCATATGTAAAAATAGTTGTTGTGATATACTTTTACAAAACGTTTATTCGCCACTGTAAGTAGTGGTTTACTAACTCTTGTTTAACGTTACCGGTGGGTGTGTTACTGAGTTTGGCGGCGATTAAGAATCACTTATTCCTTTGTTAGGACTTCATTTTGGATGTAGACCAGGTGTCAGTGAGTACCCTTTTGTTATCTTTGAAGCTAGTATAAAGAACTGCCTTATACAGGTCGTGAATATCTTTTCCTCACCACTTCATTTGGTCGTTCAATGTTTAATCTTTGCCTTTAATATGTCGAAATTTCTCTGTATGTTAAAAGAACTACGTTACAAACTGTTCTTGTTACTCAGATTTGTTTATGGCACACGAAGTATATATTTTAGTAGCTTATAGTGAGCAAAAGTCATCTTGCTCAAAGAGATGCTGAAAAGTAAACAGTCGTAGCACAAAAGAACAAATTCTGATTTTTACTTCAACTGAAGCCTTAATATATTTACAGATATTTAGCATGATTTTTTATGTAGTAATTTTACTTATGAGTCGGAAGCCTGTGTGTGTCGGGCTACATAAGGTATATTGTACGGTACATTGTACGTACTTTGGAAGTTCTAAGTCGGTGGTTTCAAAGGAATCGCAAAATTACACCGTCGTGTTATATAATTTTAGATGTGATTCTGTTCACAAATATGGATGAATTTATTCCCATTGAAGCCATATGGTGTGACTGATGGTAATCCTTCGTCCATCAGTCCTTCTGGTTTGTATTATTGTACGAGTTTTAATGTCAGGCATATTATCTTGTCTCTTGAGTTTTTTTAGTAGAAGTGATACGAGTTAATGTCATTGACTAACCACCCAATAGGTTGTTGGAGAGTAGTTGCTAAGCATTAATCCCTTGTTTCGAGGTAATCAAGATGAATAGCTTTGGTAGTATTATGTCACTTTATCTCATCCACGTAGATCCGTCCTATGGATATCCTGATAAGTTCGTTGTTTTGGCCCCGTATTGTTGTTTTTTCCCTTGCCATACATTTCAGATACTCTGTAGCTTTAATCTCTAAACACTTGCATCAAGTTCTAAGTTAATTAATTCATTTGATCCGTTAATCAGTAGTGCTTTTAGGTAGCAGCCATGATGTATCAGTTTATTGTTGGTAGGCTTCACTAGTTCAGAAGTGTTAAAATTTTATTCATTTGGTTGGGTAATACTAATACTTTATGCAATTTCTGTCCGTGGTATTTTAAAATTCGAATTCTAATTTACAGTCTGCTGGGTTCGCTGCAGTTGGAAAGCACGAAAGGTTTGGTTTACATCTTACCGACCCATGATTTGAATCCTGTAAAAATTGAGTTTCAGTGGTTTTTCGGTCCATTAGAATAATAGTCACTTTTATCTTTTTGCCTTAAAAATCTTGCATGTCTACTTTTACTCGGTATTCATTTTGTCCACGTACGTTTAGCTAGTGGTATTTTGTTCTGTGTTGTTGCATTATTTCTTGCAAAAACGGAGTCACATCAAGGTTGTAGTTTCATCTTCTCTGTTAAAAGTTCACTTCTTGAAATAGTAATCCGAATTCTTCAAATGACATCATATTCGTGTTTGAAGTAATCTTTTAGTCAGCCATCATCAAATAGAGCTTTGCACAGATCTGTGTTGGCTAAAGTAACCGCACTATATAAACACAACGAGAAGATTAACTATACGAACAGTGAGCAAGATCAAAATAGTGTCAAATTATCAAAAATCTGGTTCAAAAATACGACAGAGGGGTGTATATAGGGGTAGACAATGAATTTAGTGCATATGTATCAGTGTAACCGAATGTGAACCATGTCTCATAAACTTTAAGAAATTTACGGCGCAGCATAGCTAAGATCAAGAGTCAGCGGCATAATTCACTGATATTATGTTTACCCCATAGCATTTTTTAGATGTAACTAGGATACTATGAATATCTCGATAGCGAATTTAGCTACGGTGAACAAGTTACCAGATTTTAACATTTGGATCTCAGGTTTAAACGGCTGCAATTATGGTACAAAGCCTACTAGAATTCAGCTTTCAGGCTCGGGGTGGTTAATGTTCTCGACGTTTTTTTCATAGTATGTCATGTTAAAATCGTAAATTCACATATTATTATTTGTTTTAAAATGAATTTTCATCGTTGCTCAGGTTTATTACCAATGTCTAAATGGTATTTTGCGGACTATGCTGAATGACTTATGGAAAAAGTACATAATCAAGATAAAATGTAAGTCTTTTCATTGTTAATTCATTATTTCTTTCGTTTTCTATCAATTATAAATCATCATACAACAATGCATGTTCTAACTATCTTAGTCGATAAGGAACCTAATCTACTCACCTTCTCTGCTTAGTACCTTGTGTTTAAAGGGAACATTTCTCACTAAGATTACTTGGTGAAGAGCTTTGGCGATTATCTCGATCAGTGGTTGAGATTTTGAGTGACGTGGCTTTTATCTCATTGAACCGATACGCATATGTGCCAGGTCCTAGATTGCATGCAATTGACTAACTGGTTGCTCACCCAATGGTGCCAGGATCGGGGAATCACGGTTGTGATACATATGGTCAAACAGTAGTAACTCATGAATGTTAGTTAGTCCATTAGTGGCACGTATATACATTGGTTCAAGTTTTCATACCCTATTAGCACAAAATTTTTCACCTACTTTTAAAAACTACATTGTATAGTTATAAAATAAAAAGATCGAATATTGCTCTTGTTGATGTGTACCCAAGTTCAGAATAGGAAACATACAGTAGTTACCTGTCGTCATATATTTTATCAGAATTCAAACTATCTGTGCAATACAAGGACTTTCTTGTGTTTAAACAACAATTAGCTTTTAGGTTGTATAACAGTCGTGTTTTTACCTGTCGTTCTGAAACCATTATAAAGAAATACCACAGTCACATTTATTAACAAATTAATGAGGTAGATTTGCTTAAAGTGATAAAAACTAGGAATCATAGTACCAAGAAACAAATTTTGCTTTTCTTCGATAGTGTCAAACGATATTTTAAGCGGCAGTAGGGATTTTCGAGTATTTCGTCTCAATGGTGTTATTTATTGCAGAGAGAGCGATAGCAGAAAACAGCTCAGAGTAACAAACTTGGCTATCGCAATCAAAATGATCTATACGATGACGTTAGAGATTATCAGTCTTGGCCAAATCAGTTTAACTTAGGCTTTGTTATTGTTCCAACTACTTTATTTCTGGTCTGATACCTGACCAAACTGCCTATAATCAGAATCAATCAGGAGATTAGTAATAATAGGGGAAATTTAATCTTAAGTCTCATACTTCTACCTAATATTCTTCTTTTGTTCAGTATCCCCCGGATATTTTATTCTGCCTCATTGATCCCAAATCATAAGGGAAAATGACCAGAAAAGTAATCATATTTTAAGCGAAACGGCAATTTAAGTTGTTCACAAAGTAAGAATATGTCATTGTTTATAGATTTTTTTACATAGGGAAATTGCAAGGTTTTGTCTGTTTATCCATTAGCGTTGACTGGTTAAAAATAAACCATTCAACGTACTCTAACGAGATCTGGTCTGCAAGATGCTTTAATCAGATATATTTCCTGCCCACAGTAACACGAATACCTAAAATTTAACTGTGAGATTTTAAATTTAGTTGCTTGTGAGATTCTTCACAACACTTCGTTTCGCGTCAGTTTCTTCCCTTTAGGTATGAAGGCTTACGCCGTGTGAGCGGTTACGGAGAATCTGGTACATAGGGAAGTGTGCTTTTGTGGGTATGAGGGCGGATGTTACTTACCAGCTGGTTTGAATTATTTTTCCTTGTTAGCGTTTTTTAGCGAGTTAGTTTTTTGCGGGATAGGGTGGCCAACTCCTTGCTTAACCCTCCTCCTTTATCCTTGCACATGGGCTCCAGGATCATAATAGAATGAATAGTATATGGACTTATTATTGTTCACCAGTTATCATAAGACTGTATCCCTTTACGTTACTCTCCTATATTGTAAATTGAACCTCTAAGTCAAATGTCCTGGGAGTGGCCCCCCTAAGAAAACCATTTTCCTCGGTTTGGCACCCGGGCAGTATCCGCTTTGTATAAATGTTTGGGTTTAAATAATAAAAATAAAAATAATAATCCATTTATGATCTGCAAGAAACTGTTAACCATATTTGTTGAAGTACGATACGCCTCAGCGAATTTTTCTGTAATCTAATATTTTCTATAAACATGATGATACTACAGTCATGGATTCCGACTAACAGTTGCTCGTAGCTTCATAATTAATTGTTTTGATTATGCTTAGTTCTTTATAGGTGGAACGACGATTTTTCTAGGGTCAAAACTACTTTTTTACGTAAAGGCTTACAATTGTTTTGATGAATTTGATATATTTAGTCTGTACTCCAGTTCTTTATTTCAACATAATAGTTAGAAACAGCTAAACTTATCTTTCCTTTCACATTTATTTTTCTTCAAATGTAACACTTAAAACTTTGGCTCGCACCTTTTCTTTTTCGGTTTAAAGGTGAGAAAAATAATACTTCGGAACAACCTAACACTCCATCAGTTATATATCTGTGTCGTATTTGTTCCGGTTTTCGAACAGATAACGAATCTTTAGTTGCGAATCACCTTATTGACAGACACAATATTCAGTGTAAAATGCATTCAGGTCCATGTTCATGTGACAACTCAAATGATCCCAGTCAAATTGGCTTGGAATCGGTGTTAACCGCTGATAATTCTGTATTCAGTACTACTGGTGATAAAGAAGCTCACACTTCAGATATGTTAAACACTTTATTTTGTCAGACATCTTATACATCAAAATCTCCAACAAATGGGGATGATACTTCTTCTGTTGTCAACGATCTAAATTCAGTTGATTCAATCAGTCCCCTCCATTCACCAGTTTCTCCTGTCTTAAGGGAATTGAACTGCACACGTAAGAAAATTACGATCACTTTAAATAGTTCACCACCACCACCTACCACACCACCGTATGTCCCAGAACTTCAAAATTCAGAAAAAACAGTTGATTTATCTGGTGAGGTCGATGAATCTATTTCATCTCTAGTCTATGAAACATTCTTATCTCCATCCAGTTCTCATAATAATGTAAGTTTATTACATTATTTCACTCAAAAATCGTAATTGAGTAAGGTATTTTGCAGCTCATATTTTTGTTTGCTTAATATTTATTTGTTTTTCAGAATACACACTTGCAACTTGATAGACAAAGTCTGATCAACCATGAAAGATTAAGCAAACATGATACTGGTTACTACTCAGTGATCAATCGAAGCCCCTGAATATCCTGGTACGGCCGAGATGTCGGTCTACTTCTTTAAATGCTCTCATATGGCCGCGCGTGTTTAGGCACTGCCAGTGAAGTCCTACTCACTGTCTTCTCGTGGTAGTGATGTTCATGAAATTGAGATGACAAAAAGAGAATGTCTGATGCTTCCACCGGGTGCGTGGGTACGAGTGATATACTAAGGGGGGTTCGCAAACCCTAATTCCGACCCAGTAGTGCACATGGGCTCTAGGATCATGATGGAACGAATAGCGCATGAACTTATTATTGGATCTCTAAGTCGGACGCTCGTGGAATGGTCCTCTAAGAAAACTACTTTGCTCTGTTTGAGCGCCCGGGCAGTATCATAGACCAAACACACACACACACACACACACACACTAAATGATGAAAATTTTATGCTCGCTTTAACCCTCACTCCCACAAATCGTACTCCCAATAATTTGATAACATTCGTTTTTATTCTGTATTGTATCATTTGTTTTTTCCTATTTTGGGTATTCCTAATGTAGTGAAGGAGAACACAGGTGGGGCAACCGAATTGTATTTAACGAAAATTACAGCGTTACTCAGTAAAATTGGAAAACCATATCGTAAATCGTTAATTTGCCAAATATCAGTCCATCATATCGAACTGGACTGTTCCTGTTGCAAAACATCAATCAATTGTCACTATTCATGCGTTTCATACAAATTCCATTGTGTTCTAACTCTTCCTTTCTTGATCTTCCCCCATCTTCTGCTGCCAGACATTACGTTGACACTCACGTCATATACTACTTATAAGTAGCTCACACCACACTAAGACTTTAAATCATACAGAACCTTGCTCATGGTGGAAATCTTGTCGTATCTAAATGTTATAACGCTGCTACGTACAGCTATACAGTCCTAGCGGCGTCCAATTCAAATATCCCGATACGACCCAAAATGCTATTTCCAAATCTCCTATATATCAGAACGCAACACAGTGGGATGGAGTTTTTTATTGGGTTGAGAAAAGAAGAGAGGTAGGCAGGAAGATACGGAATCGGAATAATGAAGGCTTACAGATAGTGCGTATTTATACATTAAGGTCGAATAGGAAAGAGTATCAAAGTCTGTGACATTGGCAGTTTAGGACGACCAATAGGAAAGAACACTTGAAATGACATTGACAGTCCGGATGACCAGTAAGAGACAATATTGAAGTATTTGACTTTGACAGTTAAAACGATCATAATTTTGACCAATAGAAATCGACCAATAGGATTATACTTCCGAAAATAGTACTCTTAGGATATTTGGTGAATATCCTAACACTAAACGACCTCATGTCACTGATTGGTTGAAATTCGGATGCTACTACCGAATACGAATTCTGAATTAGCCTTTTTTAAACTGCTTTTGCTATTCAAACTGGCTTCCTTCAACGTTCGTGCATAAATGCAGATCGGACAACAGATAGGCTTGTCTATGTCCTTGGAAAGTCTGAACATCGACGTCTGTTGTCCATCTGAGACCCGTATTCAGGACTTTAGTGACGTACTACACACTCGCCCGCCATCTATCACTTCGAAGAATTTGTTTCATGTACGTTTATCCATAGACTCTATGACATCGTTTGGTTGTGTTGGCGTTTCCCACCAAGCGCTAGAGATAAGGCAGCACTAATTGATCGGAACTGTATGGACAGTTGTTTATATGCTGTTAGGTTAGAAAGCTCTATCAAAGTGGAAAGTAATCAGCGTGAGCAACAGTGTATTTTTTGTTATCTTCGTCTACACAGCCTCCCGAATTGTAGCATGGATTTAATCAAAGATGCGTTCTACTACTAGTTGAGTGATCTTCTCTACGAGGTGTGTTCGACGGAAATCGTTGTGCTAGTCGGAGACTTGAGTGCACAGGTGCGGCGTCTATGCACGAAGAAGCGTCATCGTGGTGACCAACCAAGACTTGTTGTTGGCGTCATATAACGACGATCGCCTGCTGCAATTGTGAACAGATTAAGACCTGTTTCTTTGAGTGCGAATTTCTGTGACGGTGTTTGTCTTTGAAAGGTGTACCAAACAAGTATATTAACGTTGTACAGACCCTCTACTGGAATACTGCTGGTCGAGTCAGAGCTCGTGGCGAACTGTCATCGGAATTGATTACTTCAAGTGATGTCTGTCAAAGTTTATTTTTTTTCATCGTCATGCTTTTAGTATTAATGCTTTTCAGGAGTTGATATTCCACCAGGAGATTCACTTGTTGACTTAGAATATGGGGATGACAGTTGTTTTTGGTGTAGATGCTAAAAAGTACTGTCTTCTGGCTACTTTAAGCAACAATCCAAGCATGTTTGGGATGCGGTTTTCTCCCTCCTAATGCGAAATGTTGCCTCAGGATTGATTTGCGTCGGCATCTGAACTAGTGATTGGAAGTGAAGTAGTTGGGTTTGTTGACTGTTTCATTTATCTCATAAGGAGAAGTTAAATTTTGTTTTGGACACTTTTGCATGCCACCGGTAAATATAATTGCTTTAAAGCAGTGAAGTTGCAGTACTTACTTCATAACAAGATTTTGGAGCATACTTTATAACTTGATTATAGAGATATTTATTAGTGTTTAGTTGTTTGTTTATAAAGATTCAAGTATATTCCAGAATTTAGCAAAGATTTGTGATTGTTGCATTATCCTTGAATGCATATATGTTATCATGTTTTCTAAACGATATTTTTTGTTATGTTCAGTAGATACCGAATTTATGTCTACATAGACATTGAATTCATTAAGAAGTAACTGATTGTAGTGTATTATTTGTCATTTATTTTCTCTTCATACCACCCCATCACTTAATTGTTTTCTTTCCATTTTAGCCAATAAAATCTTCTTTGAATCACAAATGTCCTGATTGTGATCGTTGTTTTAGTAGTTATAAAGCATTTGAACGTCATACTCTTCGATCACATGCATCAGCTCATCATTTGGATGGAAAACAAGGTATTCACAGTTTAATAAAATGCCTTCCGATATCGTACATTCTTAGTGATAGTTATTTCGAAATAACGTTTGTTTTATGGGAAGTGCACGTCAGTTAATTATATAGCGGTAATCAGTTTCATGTTGCATATCGTATCCTATCGAACAAGCTATATCGTGACTATTAGTCCCAGTTACATCTCAGGGCACGTGAAGCTTTTGTAGGTTGTTAAGGTCAGTCAGAAAAAAAGCTTTGAACCCTAATTCTTGTCAATGCTAAAGTTTAGATCATATGACATTGATTACTAACCGACCAGTATAAAAATAGTACATAAAGACTCGAATTCTAGTGGCACAGTTGCTGATTCAAAATAATAGTCTTGAGAGTTACACAATTAAACATTTTTATACACTGGATAAATGTACATGTTTACCAAATATTTGTCTGTCTGTTATTTGGGTGTTAAAAAAATTAGCATCTCACTGGCCATTGATAGTCTAATCAGCTCACTGTAACTGAATTAAAACATCAAGTTCTACATTGATGCAATCATTTTAAGGCAGTAGCAAATGTTAGATATTGGATAACAAATAAACACAGTTTTGAGTAGCAATATCCAACACTGGTAAGCTACTACTAACTCGTTACTTTTTCTATTATTTATCCTAATACATTAAAGAGTGTATTTTATACTCCGGTATTCTCTTCAACTGTTTAGTTTATATTATTAAAAAATGAATAGTTGTTAAAAATTTGAGATTCATCATAATATGGTCTAGAGAACAATCAAAACTTATTGTACTAGTACTGGTATCAAAGGAAATAATGAATTATGATTTTCAAATCATCTATATTCCTTTTTGTTTAATGTTTGTAGGTGCTAATTAGGCTTTAAATAAACTCTCTATTTTCGATATTCCGGTTTCTTGCAAATGACCTACATTCTTTATTTTTGTTTCTAATGCAGGAGGCTAAAGTGAATAAATTTAGCTGATTGTCATCATAGAATCCGTTGAGTAATCGTTATGTATAATTGTAAACTTCAGATCACATGTTTTAAGTTTAGTTACAGAGATGGAAATGCTTTTTTCATATTTTACTCTAAATCTTGAGTTTTAATATTATTTCTTAATTATCGTTTATTCTTTACAAATTATATTTCCCATTTAAAGTTTTTCCAACCACTGATTTTACCATTTCAATTCATTTGCTTTTTGTCTTATTAATTGTTTCCTTTATAAACTGATGTAAAATGTGCTGAATTGATTTGATATACGTATCGATATCCAGTAAGTGTAATAGAATATAATTTTCTTGAGCTATGAAAGTACATTATTATTGCGCCTGTAATATACGGCGATTATAATAAAATGTTCTACATAATAAGAAGACAATTCATTAAGTCTTGGTGACTAGTGAAAGTAACTAAAAAATACAATCATAGCGAGTAAATAGTAATTTAACTGGTTTATTTATATATGACAAACTAGATTGTAAGTACCAACACCGATTGTAGTAGAAAACTAAGTATAACAAATTTAGTTTCAATGAAACAAATAAAATCTGTTTATGAAAGCATATAATAACAGTTCAACGCTCACAATATACAGATGTGTAAATAATCAATGTATATGTCTCTTTGTGACTCATTTAGTCACATGTAACTTAAGTTATGCAATTAGGCAATACATCTGTTCTTAATTATTTTTTATTTGTTCATTATTTTGAATAGTTTTTTTTATTTAGTTGATTTAGATGACCATCCATCTAGCATTTCAACCTATGAATTTATATGCTCTCAATGTGATCGTGGTTTTACTACCAGTCATGCATACAAAGTAAGTTGACAACTTTCCAGTGGTGTTTTCATTGCATGAGGACGGTGTTTTTAGTTACACTTATCACACTCATGGTTAGTGTTGTTTCGTAGCAATTAGAAAACCAAGGTTTGATTAAAAAAACTTGGGAAGATAATTTCGAAAGGTTTCTTATCAGATTGATACATTGTATCTGCATACACCATACATATTATGATTGATTGTGTAATAAGCGAAATAAAAATAGTTACTTTAATTTCATTTTGTTAATTATTGTTTTATCGTTGTCTGTCGTTGTACAAACTGAAATCTTTTATTCTGAAGTATCTATATTGTTATGTTTAGTGGTGTATTGTTTACTTCCAAAATGATTTCCTTTTTATCACGACTAATACAGTTGTCAAAATATTTTTTTCGTTACTTTTTAATTCGTCTTGATTGTCAGTTATTATAAGAGAAGTGTATTTGTACACTAGCATCAGCTTATGATGTTGATCTCTGAGTAATTAATAATTGTATTCATCATGTTTGATGGAGCAGATTACTGATTCCCGTTATCATATAAGAGCTGATTATGCAACAATGAAACTATGCACTCAATTTAGACAAGTTACATACATTTTGGCTTATCATATTAGTGTGCAAACAAAAAGAACGTAAGGATAATGAACCTGCAGAGTGAGTCAAATTAAACAAGTGAATTGTTTTAAAAGCAAAAAGATGTTCATATACAAATAGTCTAACTTAGGGAGTAGGTAAACTGTGATTCCGAACCGGTAGTGTACACGAGCTTCATGATCCTGAAGAAACAACTGGCTTATGAATCGATGTTTGATCTTAGACTGCTGTATAACGGTATTTCCTAAAGATCCTCCATTGCCGTGTAGATCCGGCATCTAGGTCAAAGGCACGGGGAATGACCCCTTTAGGAAGAATACTTTCTTTACTTTGACTTCTCAGGAAGTATCACGGTCCATATGCAAATTTGCGAGTGAAAAATTACAAAGAAGCTACTCCCTTCTCTGCAATTAACTACATACTCAATCGATACTCACTATGACTTCATTACAATTGTATTTATTTTACTCTGCTTATTCCACGCTCATGTCTCTTACTAATGACTTTATCTTGTGAACACCTGATACTTTTATTTGACTAGTGGTAGTTAACACCATTGCTAGTGCTACTATGTTCCTCTAAAGCAAGAGAGCCGTAATTATTAAACTCTGAAAATGTTATAGTTATTTACTGAATAATAAGTGTGTATTATATATGTTTGCTATTCGATTACTGGTAATTTAAGGCTATTTCTTTTTTTTTGCTGACTACAGAACATTATATATATATATATATATATATATATATATATATATATATATCAGATATTAAGGAGATTCAAACCTATGGTAACTGGTGACCTACAATAAGTTCATACACCATTAATTCCATCATGATCCTAGAGTCCATGTGCACCGATGGGCTGTAATCAGCGTTTTCCACTCCCCTATCTACTAGATCCTCCGTACCTACTCACACGGTGTAAGCATCGGACATTCCTTTATTCTTCATCTCGATTTCATGAACATCCCTGTCACGAGAAGACAATGAGAAAAAGTCCTCTGACAGTGGCTATGCACACGTGTACATACGAAAACATCCACACTCTCGGCCGTACCTGGGCATTTAGGGACAATAATGTTAAATAATTATTACGATTGACTTAACTAAAGGAAATCTACTCGTCTGAGATTGTCGCTATTTTCAAAAAGAATATATTAATTTTTAACTAAATTCTATCTTTTTTTATTTCAGATGCATACAAGGGTGCATAAATCAAGTAAGTAACAACTGAAGTGTTTATATCTGCATGTGTACTCTCTTATTGCCTTAAATATTACTATTAAAATTGTTATTGGATCGAATGATCATTGCTCCTAGCTTTTGCTCCAGTCTTCTCTTGGAAGTCCATTTAAAGCCCTCGTAAAGGGATATGAAAATTATTACGTATTTAGCATGTATGGCTTAGGCCTAAGGCGATTCCTAGTTACTAACAATCGAGATTTTTCTGTTATGAATAAGATTTAATGCGAACCGAATGGTTGAAATAACACATCAGAAATTATTTTCAACGTAACACAGCACAAAAGGTTTGGTATTGAACGAAGTCCAATTTGTAGAATATGATTTTGGGAAACCATAAAGTTAGTAGACTGAAAACAGCAGCAACCAATCAAACTGTTGCCATGGTCAGCACGGAATTAAAAATCCGAAAAAAGCTATTGCCGTTAAATTTTCGGGAAAGGATTAATATTTAGTAATGAAAACTAGATTTCTCGAGGTGTCTTTAGGTGTGTACACTGTTGAACATTGGTTTATAGATAAAATTTATTCTCTTTTGGTAGATTCATAGTTTTGAATGGTACAAGCTGTTATTCCTTAATTTAAAAAAAATTATGTTTATAAATTTACTTTTCTATGCTCACTCAAAAATCTTTAACGATTGATCTATTAGATATCAGTCTGTACGTATACCAAGTTAAATCTTGTTGAATTCGCTTCATTGACCATTTTCAATGATCAAACGTATCTAAGCACATGATAACAGGGAAATATTGAGAAGTGACTCTTTCAAATATTTATTTGTCAGACAAAAGTCTAAACCTGAAGTATTACATTTCACTTCGTACATTGCAGTTCATCTACTATGAACTCTCTTGACATTTCATCAACTCAACTAGATAAATAGAAAAAACATGCCTACGTAAAAAGCTGTCTTGCCAAAAGTTGTATAAAGGTAATCACATCTTACGTATACCTACACATGGCCGAACTGGCTTAAACAGCAGCATGTGAAAAGTGACCGTAGGGAACTGATTCATTGCTATGATTTTTGTATATTTCCATCTTAAGACGCTATGGTTTGTCTGTTCTTAAAGGTGATAGTGTATTTAATTTTCTAAACAGATGGTTGTTAGTTTTAGAAAGAAAGATTTTCCCTTTTATGAACTCTAAATTATATTCTTTAACTAGTACCTAAATTTTCAGTTTATTAAATCGAATTTTGTAATTCGAATAGTCGATAAGTATATATACAGGTAGCCCAGAAATGCACTGATACGACCGAGAGTGCGGAGAGTCCACTCTGCTTCTTGGAATGCTCTCATATGGCCACATGTGCATAGCCACTGCCAGAGGACTTCTTCTCATTGTCTTCTCGTGACAGGGATGTTCATGAAATCGAGATGAAGAATAAAGGAATGTCCGATGCTTACACCGTGTGAGTAGGTACGGAGGATCTAGTAGATAGGGGAGTGGAAAACGCTGATTACAGCCCATCGGTGCACATGGACTCTAGGATCATGATGGAATTAATGGTGTATGAACTTATTATTGGTCACCAGTTACCATAGGGTCGCATCTCCTTACGTTGCTCTGCTCTCTTGTGAATTGGAACTCCAAGTCAAATGCTCGTGGAGTGGTCTCCTACGAAAACCACTTTTCTCGGTTTGAGAACCCGGGCAGTATCCCAACCAGTGCACACAAATTCAATAATTTGTGTGGTGCATAAATATCTAGGTTCCGCTTTGCGTAAATGTTTCTGTTTAAATAATAAAAATAAAAATACATTTATGATCTGCAAGAAACTGTTAACCAAACTTGTAGTGCATCAGTTTTGTGCTTTTCTTTTATTATAAATGGTAATGTATTCAAATAAAATAGATTATGCGTTTCATCATTCTTTCTTAACTTCATACGTAATACTGTTTGTACATGTATTTATACAAACCGCCGGACATTGTTACTAAGAAGAAAAAAATGCATTGAATAACACTCCCATTGTTGAATAATCCGATTAATTGTAGTCAAATAACTCTTTTTTAGTCACATAACAGTGTCTTTTATGCAGTCAGACTTGATAAGGTAAGAGTCACGGGATTTTCTCCCAACGCTAACAATGTTATTTCTAAACTATGTTTACTTAACCGCTGCGTTTAATTTATTATTTTACTTAATTCATGTATATTTATATGTTCGAGCAAACTTAACTCATCTATTTTATATGTTGAAAAAAGATTCACCTTATCGAGTTATACGAACAGCCTTACATGCATACCATATAATTGCTACATTAGTATTATGTACAGCGCTATTTGAATTTTACCCATTCATTAATATAATATTATTAACGAAAAATTCTTTTGGGTTTAATCTAAATCTAGACAAGAAGTGCACCCGATCTCATGATCCAGCTAACAATCATAAGAATGATTCATTTGATAATAATAGTAATCGTAAAGAAAACATTATTGAGTCAAAATATCGTGCAATTCTAGTGAGTAATATATTCATTACTATATTACTTTATTCATCTAATGCATTTTTTACATAATGATGGTCCTTTCTTAGAGATGAATATTCGATACTAGCTTTTATGTTATTACTGGCATTATTGTGGTCATCATTTAACACTAACCTATAGAGAAGACTCATTATACGTTCAAGCAGTTTAAGATTAGTAACCATTCTGTTTGGTTTTAATTGCTTTGGATATAATATCCATAATTCATATTATCCTACTACCTAGGTCATTATATCAAACTTAAGCATGGTTTTGTATTACAAGTTGACTATAGTTCTTGAAATTGCGTTTATAAATGGACTTACGTAAGTGACCAAAAAGTAGGATAGCGCATATTATTGATCCTTTAGTTTTTACCTTACTGATAGCATTCATCACTTAATATGCTGATGACATAGTCGTATTCGGTGAAGACTGAAAAATGCAGAGTCTTCTGACCACCCTCAGCAACATTGCAAGCATGTTCGAAATGCGGTTCTCACCCTCGAAATGCAAATTGTTGCTTCAAGATCGGGTTTCCTCGGCACCTGAACTAGTGATAGGGAGTGAAGTAGTCAAACGCGTAGACCGCTTCACTTATCTAGGGATTCGCATCAGTGCCGATGGCCTGGTGACTGGCGAAATCTCAGCACGGATACAGAAGGTTCGATTTACTTTTGCCAACCTGCGTCACCCATGGCACAGGCGAGATATCCGTTTTCTAACTAAAGAATGAGTGTACGGTGCAGAAGTTCGCTCCGCCCTAATTTATGGATGCGAAACATGGCCAGTGAGAGTAGAAGACATTCGTAGATTGCTTGTTTTGGACCATAGATGTCTTCGAAGCTGTAGGATTTAATTTGTCCTACAGATGTAATTCTAAAACGTAAACGCAAATACCGCCGATGACAGAATCCAGAGTGAAACTATAGTTAACAGAAGACAATTCGGTATTAAACTTTATCTGTTTCTAAACAAAAAGAAACGATTAAATTAGTACAATAAATAAGGAAATTACAATTATCAAGCAGGATGAGCAAACGTACCGGACAGTATAGCGTGTCTTTAGAAAATGAATAAAAAACATGAGTCACAGCAATATAAATAAAATAATAACATCCTTCAATCGATAGACCATTCACAACAAAGAAAGTTTATAGATCAGTCAGACTAGATGACGTGGTGAGCGCTTAACCAATCTGATTGGTTAGTTATGACATAACTACAATTAGTTATAAAATAACTAACACTCCCCCCGAAGCGGTCACCACGTCCAGACCTCGTTGCCGTCGCGCTCGAAATAATCGACCTCTTCCAGTAGGCATAGGTTTCGTATATCTCGGTCGATCTCTACGGTATCTGTCTTCCATTGAATCGTTCTGACTCGGCAATCGGGACCATAACTGACTTCTCTAACTATAGCTTTCACCCAAGGATTTCTCAGCAAACCGGTATTGTTTACTAACAGTGAGTCTCCATGTTGTGGATTCCTTCTCGTTGACTTTATGTTTCCATATACCGCCTCCGGGATCAAAGATTAATGCTATAAACGACAAAATATTCCTTCTGGTTAGGTTTCCAGGAAACTCGTGAACTCTGAGAAATGATTCATCCGCTCGGATATTCTGCTCTACTCCCAGCGTTCCTTTACACATCTCGTTGGATCCGCATAGGGTAATGTTTCCCTTTATTTTATCACTTTTCTGGCAAAATGAATTCGATGATACCGGTGGGGATGCTACTGTAGAATCCGCTGCATAATTTTCGGTTCTTATAGAGTTATGTTGTGAATTAAGACCACGTCTGTTCTGATGGTTTGACCTGATGGTGTATGTTTGACTCAAAACAGATACAGAACTGTCGAATCCATATGGACATGTGTCGTTCTCTTCGATAGCTTTTCTTTTCAATTCACGACGTCTTCGACAGGCTTCGTGAAACTGGAAAACACTCTTATCACAAACCATCCCATCCTGTTCGATGATTCCATCAAATAATGTTGGAAGAAGAGTCTTTTTCTCTTCTAAGACAGAGAAACCACTTGTACTTACATGAGTAGGACATGACCGATAGCGATGTGTTTCAGGATCCGAAGTGCGGTCTAATGACTTGCTTTCTGACACATTTGTCCTTATTCTTTTAGCTTGAGATGTTCCCGATGCAGAATCATTGCTACTACTACATGAATACTGCAGATCAAATTTACTAGGGATTTTATTTGTGGATAGTGTACCTTGCTCTTTACAGAATTTTAAGACATAATCGATTTCGTACTGAGTTGCTTTGCATAACTTGCTGACGGGTGTCCATTCTACAACGTGATCCCAAATATAACGTAGGCGATACTCTGCTCTTGTACCATGTCGCTGACGATGGGCTAGAACCTCAGCAAAATATTGGAAGTCATTGTGCCATGCAGCCACCTCATTTATTGCACCCATTCTCAAAGTTCGTGAGTCAACTAGAGCAGCAGGCATTTTTAACCAACTGAGCGTATTAATCAACAGTCTGCCTTCATACACTAAACGTACTACCATCCGTGACCTGCAGAGATATTCGTTATTCTTTTCAGCACTGTTGTTGGAAATGAAAAGGTCCAAGATTATTACACCTCTGTTTATTAGCATCGGAATTATGAGTTCGGCAATGCTGTCGAATAACTGGCATTTCTCTTTCACTCGCAACTAGGTCGACTTCCGCTAAAGTTGACGTTTCTTTCCGTTTATCATCAACTACTTCCTTAGCAGAATCTTCTAGATTTTTCGAATCCTTACAGTCTGTGTGAGAAGCTGTAACAACTTTAGCCAATGTAGTAAAGGGACACGAAGCAGAATCATGACTTGTAGATGATGCTGTCCATAAATTAACCGAAGCATCTTTCGACACATCAGCGTTGACAACGCTTGATGAAATATTTGATCCGAGAACACAATCAGATGGAATGTCTTTCTTAGCTATAGCAGGACTTGATAGAACGATAGGTGACTTAGCTAATTCTTTCGATGCTTCGAGTGATGCAACATAAGCTCCTGTGAGAGAAGCAGGATGATTAGAAAGAGAACTAGAAAAATCCTGATCTGTCGATTTAGTCTGAGGAAGGTTTATTCCATTCAGGTTTATCGCAATTTCATCACGTTCATTTAACCTTTGCACTGTGCTTGATATAGCGTTGAATGCTCTACGATCTTCCATAGACATAAACGGGTCTTTCGATTCAGTTGAGTACAACTGCTCAAACTTATCTTCCAGTTCCTCCTTAGCCGAGAGGTGATTAAGTGCACGGTTGTTATCAATGAATTCCCCGTAAGGACCGAACAACGTCCAACCCAATAAGGTCCTCACGGCAGACGGCTCATCTATCTTTCCAGTTCTCATCTCCTTCGTCTCGTGTACTCTCGGTACATTACACCCGATCAACAGTTTAACATCCTCATCTTCTACTCTCGGGAAACTTACGTCCTTTAAATAGGACCAGGATGCCATTTGACGCGCCGTTGGTACATTTCTGTGAACTGCCGGTAGTTTTCTGACTGTCAATACCTTCTGGATCTTAACAGATGAGAAGTCTATAGCGTGCAACTCTACATCCACCTCTTTAGATACCAATGACGATTCGTTATTTATAGTCTTTAAAGACACTGTTCTCGGCTTTCCCTCGAGGCCTAAATTATCAGCTAGATCTTCTACTATTAGAGAGGTGTCTGACCCACTATCTAGAAAGGCGCACGTCTGCATAATTCTCTCACCGTTTTTTATCCACACAGGAACTACTGCAAATGCCACAGGTCTCTGTATGCCCTTAACATCTTCCTATGTACAAATCTGAGAATTAATGCAGGCATCACTAATAATATCTCTTCGTTATTCCCGCTTCTCATGTAACAGAGTATGATGTCTCCAGCCACATCCCTCAACAATACACGACCTTGGCGATCGACAATTCTTTGCTATATGGTTTGGTTTCAGACAATTATTACATAATTTATGCTTAAGGACGAATTCTCTCCTTTCTTTAACATTCTTGTTTTTAAACTTCTGGCACTGATCTAAAAGCTGATTGCTTGAGCAAACTGCACGAGGTGAATTATATAAGGAAGTATTGCTGTCATTAATGCTTGCATGTGCTACCGTTGCCATGTTGTAACTTGCGGCAGCCTTCCCCTTTAAAGCACCACAACCTCTTTTGTCAGCATTATCGCTGCGATTGACAAGCAGGCCGTATCTAGTGTTAGCTATATCCGACTGCTCTTTAACAAATTCACAGAGGTCATTGAATAAAGGCTCCCTGCCCGTCTTGAGAATTCGACATGCTACTTTAACCCATTCTCTCTGTAGGTGTGGTGGAAGTTTTAAAAACACGCTTTCGATGGTTTTCGTAGAATTAAGATCGGACAGGTAGTTCATTTGTGTGAGCCTAAGCTCACAGATATACATAACTACAATTAGTTATAAAATAACTAACAGAAGCATTTCTCGTATATCGTGGGACAACCGAGTAGGCAATGCTGTCGTTAGGACACGAGTACCAGGTAAGGATGGCAAATCAATAGATGAAGTATTAAAACTTCATCAGTTGAGGTGGTTGGGACATGTGTTACGTATGCCTAACCACCGACTGCCTCGTCGGGCTGTTTTGTGGTGTAGGAATAGGTTGGAAGAAAGTTAGGGGCCGACAAACCAAAACATGGCACAAATCCATGAAGTCGCTGACAACTGGACTGTGTTATGTTGCTAGATGCAGACTGCCTTCTTGGGGTCCGCGAGACGAAAGTCATCGATGGTTAGAGACGTTGAACGACATAGCTCAAAGTCGTTTGCAATGCCTTACGTGCATCCATTCTTTGTTTTCTCTCAAATTCTAACCTGAATTCCTCATCATCTCTATCTTTCTCTTTCTAACTTTATCTCACTGAATTATACCCTAACTTCTCCATTACTGCTAATACTTCTACTATTGCTCCCACTGTGGGATTTGAATTGACAGTTGTGTCTCTGTGCCGGCGTGGTATGGCAACCTGAACTGATGTACATACGTACGAAGTTCTGTGTTTTGTCTATCTGTCTATTGTCTGTTCATCATTTCAATGCAAATGTAGAGATATTTATCTTATCCTTAGATAACTCAACTTCTTGTACAAACGTTCAATCCTAGCTTGTCGAATCACTTAATCTTATGAAGAAAATTACAAGCCTAATCTACAAACTCCGGTTAGAACTAAAAACTGGACATACTGGTATTTTTCAGTTCTTGATAACTGGCTAGTGTATATATTATTGTTTTCGCAACTGTTTGAATTTACGGTTTAGAAGTAATGTAATAATTTACTTATCAATTTCATACAGCAATATTTTCTGTAAGTTCTGCGCTATCTTCGGAAACGTGGATTCAATCTAAAGCTATCAAAGAGTTCGATCAGAATCTAATACGTTACTTAAAAACTGTCTGATGAAAGACCGTAATGACACTTCCGCTAAACTCAAAACGCTCACCAAATACAAAAAGGGATATGTGTAATGTAACGAAATTAAGCGCAAGTAAGAGCAAATACCACAAGCATATAAATCTAATTAAAGACTGATCTTAAGTAAAGTACATTAATAACTTAGGAAGTTAACTAGCCTCTGATGAAAGTTAACTGAAAATATCTAAGAAATACATTTACAACGTCATAGTGAGAAAAATAGGTATGAAGATTTATGAATTCGAAATATATGAATGATAAAACGTGTATTTCTTAATATTCTCAACAATTTCACTTTTGCACGTTTGTTATTATTGAGATTATCCATTGCCTATTGTAAAGTGAGAGATGTAAAGGTTCTGGCTAAAAGTAGATTTTTAAGATCATTTATTCGATTAAAAAGTCGCTAAGCTATTCACTCTTGTTCACTTTTACGTCCATAATGGTAGGAACTGACTAGTATTCCATCACCGCTTTTTTAACGCGCAATAATTTTTAACATTTGCATCAAAAAAAAGAATAACTACTCATAGTTTTACATCGAATTCCAGTCAACAACAACAAGATAATCCTAACCATTAAAAATTAGATTAAAAATACTTATAATACTGTCAAGTTATTAAAGTAGCCCCATTCAATTGTTAATGTATAATTAGAAATATATATAACTGTTTATCTTATCATCTACTTATTGTTATTTATTTTTTCTTTAATTTTTTTCGGAAAATTGAACGTTTATATAGCCCAAACCATGTAATCATCAATCGTCTATACAACTTTCATCGTTAGATCTAAAACCAAAACGTCGAAATGCTCGTCGTCAAACTAGTAGTTCATCGTCATCTGAACAAAAATCATCATCGACGAGACAAGTCAGTCAGAATGATAATGGCAGTAATTCTTCTGTTGGACTATGCAACTATTCATCAAATTATATATCAAACGGGAACGTGCTTATTCATCCAAATTCAGCCAATATTCTTCTCCACTGTGCAAATAACAATCCTAATAACCAAAATAATAGTATGAATTTAACTAACCATGTAATTTATGACACAAGTGATGCAGTCAATAAACCGTCGCATTTACTCACTGTTGCAGCAGCTTATGCTTCTCAGATTCCTTACAGTACCGTCAATAGTGATGATACGTCACAAAATGTAAGACATGCAATTACAATTGCAACTACTATATTCAACAGTTGTGATTTATTTTATGAGATTAGATTACACCTAAATACCTGCAGGTAGTATTTGTATACACTTCTATTTCGTCTTTTAAACCATAGAGTACGCTGTTGAATACAGATAGAAGGACACATATGGTGGGGCTAAATAATGTATATAGATCCTAATAATTGATGATAACAGTCTGCCTCTATTGATTCAGTAAATATATCTTAGTAGTCCTTTATTTGACAACAAGCAGTTCGGTGATTTATGTGAGGCAGGTTGGAATGATATCAAAAATGCTGTGGAAACAGTGATATCTGCTAGTAAGGCAAACCATAAGGCTAGGATGAAGCCGTAGATTTCAGTCGCATCCACCGAACTGATGGATGCTCGAAAACGCATCCCACCTGACTCTGAACATGATGAAGAGTGTAGTCAGCTTAGGCGCAGACTGATAAAAAGACCGCGAACAGTGGTGGGTGGCGAAAGCAAAAGCGATGGAAAAGGCAGCGGCGATAGGCAACAGTAGACAACTTTTCCGCCTTATTAAAGAAACCGGTATTAGGAACCCGAATATGAGTGAGACTATCTCGGAAAAGGATGGTTTTATCATCCATTCTCAATCCAGGAGATTGGATCGATGGGCAGAACACTTTAGGGATCAGTTCAACTGGCCTCGAGCCACACTTCGGTTGCCCACGATCCCCAGTCATCCTGAATGGCCAATCGATTTAAGTCCTCCCAGTCTACATGAAGTTGAGAAAGCTGTAGGAAATCTAAAGCGAAGTAGAGCATCAGGTCCTGATAGGCTTACCCCTGAGAACACAGAAACACATTTAGACGTCCGACAATAGCCGTGTTCCTGGACCTAAAAGCGGCATTTGACTCAGTGGATCGTGAGGTTCTGTGGCAGTGCCTGTCATTGAAAGTTGTACCAAAGAAGTACATTAACCTTATACAAGCTCTCTACTAGATGACATAGTTCTATTTGGTAAAGACGCTGACAAAATGCAGAGTCTTCTGACCACCCTAAGCAACAATGCAAGGATGTTCGGAATGCGGTTTTCCTCCTCGAAATGCAAAATGTTGCTTCAGGATTGGCTTGCAACTTCACCGGAACTAGTACTGTATGCTCCAGAAGCTACGAATTATCAGATCCTGGTGAAACTAGAAATTTATGGCGTCTTTTTTGGATGTAGTTGTAACGTTACTCTTTCATTCTGACCGTTTCGTCCTCCACTTCCTGCTTTATCTTCTAATTTTTTCGGTTTTGTTTTATTTGAGTGCCTGACTCTTCTGAAGTCTGTTAGATATTATATAAAAATTTTGTTTTGGTATATATTTGTGTGAACTGCCCAAATAAATTACGTCTCTGTCATAGACACATTAATTTTTATCGATATTAAGTGGTTGGAGGCTGTCGATAGTAAGCCCTGTATCTAGAAATTTAACCAACTACCATTCGTCAATAGGACATATCTACAATTTGGTAGGAATCGGTGCTCGTAAATTTTAGACCCACATCACCCACCATCGCTAGTCAGAGACATTACAAATGATCTTTTCAAATCATTGCCGATACTGACTAATTATATATATATATATATATATAACTTTTAGTTAAGGTGACTAAAGTTAATATTTTTGAATTTATAGTTATCAAGTGATTCTTCTATTCCCGGTGTTCAAGTCTACCCTATTCCATGGACATCTGATGCACATAATTCTAGTCTAATATCTGCCGATTCTCTTATATCTAATGTTGTTATTAACCCACCAATAGAAAATCCAGTTTCTTGCAGTTCAGATAATCAACTACATACAACTAAAACCATAACCACAAATTGTGATTTATCGTTTGGTCATGAATCTTTAGCACCATATTCTTATATTCAATTATATCCTGTTATGAGTTCCGATGGTACATTATTTTATATGACTGGTACACCAATTGAATTAACTCAAACAAATCATAATAATTCTAATGAAATTGATTTTAATCATACTCTCGTACCTAATAATTATGAATCAAGTTACAAGTATACAACAAATGAGGTTTGTTCATCTAACAATGACAGAAATGAATGTGAAAACAATGATTCTACTCAAATGAATTCCTCAATATCCCAGCATTTATCCAGCACAGATGTCAACTCTGCATTGCTAACAAATGATACAATTTCATGTGGTTATATTATGAATCATCAAGATAATACCAGTAAAAATAATGAAGGAACTGTTTACTTCTCTTCACATTATAATAATATATCAGCAAATTGTCAATCAGCCTCAGGTAAATCACTTATATATGTATGCATATGTTTATTGAATCTTATTGGAAGTTTTATTTAACAAGTTGACATCAGCACTTTGAAGTTACTTTTCATTGTTATTTTTTCCACACATCTAATATGATCACGTTTTCATCATACTTCCTCATTGTGTTTACCTAACTCATTAACTATGTTTGCTTGTAGATAGATATGCGCCCAGTCTATTTTTACGCTTGTAATATAAAAATGATGTTATCTGTTGCTGTTTTTGGAGATTTGTTCCAAGCATCTTGGCTGGTGACCTTTACTATTGATCCTATACAGGATACGATCTGTGTTTTATCAGTAAAGTTTTATTTCAATCTGTTATATGTATTAAAGTCTTCCACTTTTGGTACCTATACTTGGAATTGTCTGTAACATCTAAAAGATACAGTTTCTTGTTTAAGGCACAATGGTAGCGGTCAAGTTTGAACAACACGACAACATCAAACTTTAACGTAATGCTTCCATCAATTGATCAATTTTTTGTGAAGTGAATTTTTAAATTTTATTTCAGAATATAATGCTTAGAGTATTAAGGTTTTGTTAATGTTCAGGCTAACGTTTATCATTTACTGTTAGTATTTAAACATTGAAGGTATTAATTCAAAATAAGAAGTGATTTCGGAATCTGTGGAATGATTAACTCGTTAAATGCAATTCCATTTACTTATGGATATTGTGTTTAGCTTTAAATAGTTAAAATCTTTATTACAGTTGACTTTCCTGTTCATGTCGAAATAAGTTTATAACAATAGAATTTATGAATATATGGCTCTCGTGTTAGAAAAAAATATCAAAGCTTTTTTTACTTAAAACTATTTCAGAAATTTCATTTCAGATCCCTTTTTATACTTCTTTTTTTATTCAGTAGTTCCAATAAATGATTGCATTAAAATATGAGTTATAAATATAATTAGAGTTATATTTCTGGTATGATAAAACATTTTCCTTTGTGAAATATCCTGGATGTCTAATAAAGGTCATTAATACAGCTTTTACAACATTGTATAGAAATTTTCAAGGACAGATTTTTGAGTTTATTGTGACCTTAACTGTTTGTAAATTCAAACCTCCTTTATGTGATGTTCATTTGGACTTTTGTTTAATTGATCTTTATTAGTTCTGATATGAAAAAGGTTGACCAGATTATTCGAAATGTATTGACTTCACTTTCTCATTGCTCTGACAAAATGTATAGAATGTTTATACTTTTTATGTGGCTGCTTAAATACCTAACTTTTTTCTCTACTTTGATCTATAGGCTCCGCCGTTTAAGTGTGATTGGTGAAGTATCTTGTATGTCAGTGGTTGTACCATCGAGTTCTCGTTGGTTCTCCTTCTTATTAGAACCTCAGCTATCAATAGTTAGGAATTGTAATCTTTTTCAGATACTTAACTTGTGAACACTTAACATGTGATCCTTGGAGTGAAAAGTAGTTCTACTTACTGAGAGTTTAAATTATGAATAATAAACCAATAAGAAAGTAGAGATGGGAACATATAGTGCTTATTAATAATTGGCGCAAAATGATACAATAAATAGAAAATTTTTTATTGAATCAACAGATGTCTTGCGATTTCCCACTACTTTTCTCTCAAACAGTAGTATTTACATTTTTTTACTAAGTGTTGTGCTTCGTATTATGTACATGGGTGCAGTACTACCAACATTGTTTAACAGCATAAAAACCAGTAATTTTACGTGAACATGGGTAGCAAATAATTTTTCATGATTAATCCGTACAAGTGACACGTTGAGAGATTGTATTCTGCACTGTTCTTCGTCTTTGTAATTGATTAGTCAGATCCCTGAAGCATTTTTTACTTCAGCATAAAGTTGTGCTAAAATCACCTATCAACTAAGATATTCAATTCCATCCATTATCTCAATAGTGGTGTTTTGACCAGAGCGTCTTTGAAGTACAGTATTAATATAATGGGTAATTTGATGTTATCGAAAAATCTTACCTGTTTTTAACCACAGACGTTTCTTTAACATTAACTTTAGGGAATTTTTCCCCAGTATATACCTCATTACGTGTTCTAATCTTAAAGATAAAATTTATATGAATACAGTGTAATGTCTTCCGTTTTCCTATCTCATTGTAATTATTAAATGATCGTCCTCATTCATTCTATTTTAAAGCACCCATCTAAATAGCTATCAGTCGTCACCTAATCTTTAATCTCGTTATCCATACTCGTAATACTAGTTTGTGTTGGTGTTGATTGTTTTACAAAGGATACTTTCACATCAGCGATTCATAATCAGTACTTTTTACACTATATAACTTTGTGAATCATTTGGCAATGTAATTTATTTTATGTATTACTCTGTACAGATTATTTGTCAAATGATGTGGAAGTGATTGATTTAAACGTTCCTGTTGCTGTTGTTCATTTGGATCAAAATCATATACTTAATAATCCTCAAGTGACTACGACTGTTTACGAAATGGATTCTATGCCTAAACAAGATTTTCCTATGTCATACTCCAATTCAATAGAGTGTAATTCAGAAACTACAGACCATAGAAAACTTTCTGAACAACCGTCATCAGCAGTTAGTTGTAATAAAGATCAAAATAATCTTGACAATAATAATAATAATAATGAGGATGATGAACATTCGATTTGTGAGATGACAACAGTAAGTTCATGTGAAATATTTGGATTTTCAAACATTTTATGTGTCTGTAGTGTTTCGTTATTATTTCTCATTGATCCAAATGTTTAAAATCTTTTCAATTACCGTTCGGTCTTCTTTCTTACCTAATATAGATGAATGAATTAGTATTCCTAGCGCGCATCTTTCCAGAAATCATTGGTTTTTATTAGAAATAAGGTGAGCTTGGTTGCTTTTAGAGACAGGCAAACGATTGGTATCTTTTGGTTGCTCACACCGTGAAGCGACATTTCTTTTTGTGCGACCTGAAAAGAGTAAGAGGGTTATTCATTAAACTTCTTGTTGATTTGGAATGATGACCTCAGGACCAATAGAATAACTTTAAAGCCGGCTGCACACAATATTTTGTTCAAATTTATTTTTTAATTGGACCTGTACTTTTCAATCCTTACCACAGGATTCGAAATTTCGTATTGGTTTCAGGTGCAGCTTTCAGCGACTGTTCCTAGTGTCATTAAAAATGTAGCGTTACTGGATATACCGGTTGGTTTTAGAACACACCTTGATACCGGCCGACCGATGTAATACTATTCTTTTCTGTAAAACCTACTGCTTTCGGTGTTACTAGTATGTAACCAACTTCCTTATTATTTAGAGACTTTGAGGAATCTGTCTTTTTGTTTATCCGTACCGCAATCAAATGATCATTATCGCTAAACTCAACCATCATGTCAAAGTAGTAACTATTATCGAGTTTACCTACTAATGTTTCTTCTAAGGTACCTTTATCTCCAGTTACTGCAACTTAAATATCCTTGTCAAAAATATATTGGAGTATTAAAAGAAGGGTTTACAGTAATTTTTCATTGTGTGAATTCAGAATACTCCTTTGCACCATGTATTTTCATAGCGTATGTCTGTCATACAGGTATCTGGTGTATTTTTGAATTTCTTATTTTGTCTTTTGTTTGAAAAAACTTCAGTTGTTTTTTGTGATCTCTCCATAAAATCGGTGTAATTTAATTCAAGTCAATTCTTTCCGCGAAAGTATACATAGGTGAATTCCTATACATCATCAATGACCGTTTCCTATCCAATAATGAAACTAGTTGACATCACTATTTCCTTATGTAATAATAGAATGAAGATTCGAAAAGTACTTTCACTCTTCAATCTATTTATGCTTTAACAGAACGCTGAAATACTAGTTTGAAGGTGACTGAACATAATTTTCATGTTCAAATGTGCTTGCTTTTATCAAACTAGACATTCAGTTAGTAAATTATTGTACAATGACAGCAATAAAATGTACCGGTTTCATTTACTACTCATAGTACCTGCTATTCGAATTCCGTGTAAAGATCAGCATATAATTTCTCTTTTTTTTCTATTATTATATTTAGGAAATTAAAGTTTCTTATTCAACCTCATCAGAATTGGTGAATGCACAAGTTTCCAAAGAATCTCAACCATCACTACCGCCTACTGTATACAATACTTCCGGTGCTTCTTTTGAGTTGCATAATAATAATAGTGATAAAATCCAATATGAGAGCATTGATTGTATAAAAGAATATTTAAGTTTCAATAAAACAGAATCACTCAATCATGATACTGTGTCTACATTGAAAAACTTTGTTGAATAATAATTTCCGTAATATTACTCTACTTTTAACAATTTTTTTTAGATTACATTTATTCTAAATGAATCGTCATTATCCAGTTCTGTCTAGTCATTTATCGGATTCCACAGCTTTTTTATGATATATGTATATCTATTTGTATATCCTTGTTTACAATATTTATAGGTATCTATCTATCTGTCAGTTATGTACATAATTATAATCATTGTATTCAATCAGAAGAGCTTATCATTTACTTTGTTTTATTTAACTACAGTCTCTTGTTGTCTTTTTTCTGCATTCATTCATTCATTTCCTTTCTGACATAACTGAACTGTCTTATCGAATAGTTTATTATTTAATTTATCTATTGTATATTCAACTTTGTATGTCCAAATTGTTCAATTCAAACAGTATATCATGACACGTAAAGACTGTATATTTATTTTTGTGTAAATAAAAAACATTGGTAATTACGTATTGAATTGCATTTCTTGAAATAACTAATCATTATACAACACACAATCATTTTTGTTAATTTGAATTAACCTGATAATTCCCAATAAATTTTTCCTATTGTTTGTTTACACATTTTCAAATTAATAATAATAATATTATTATTATTATTATATCATTGTTAATAACTTGTTTTGTATGTTTCTTTTCAATTTGATTAAGCAAAAACGAGACAACGATTTTGTTTCTGTATTCTCAGTATCATGATTGTATATCAATTGTTGATCAGTCATTATTATTATTATTATTATTATTATTATTATTATTATTATTATCATTATTATTTCAATTACATAGAGCAGTGTAACAATATTTCATTATTTTGTTTGGTTTTACTTGTTTTCTTTTGTATTTCCATTCAAGTTTAATCATTGTCTTATGATATTTTGCTAGAAGATTCTGTCATCAACCACATTTTGATTGTCAACAGTAAATTGCAAGTTTTGCATATGAACAAATTTGTTTTGTATCAGTTACATCGCTGTAAAATTACATGTAATTAATGTGATTGTTTACATCATGTATGGCCTGTATAAAATTTTTAAAACACATTATGCTTTGTATTTTGGCTGTCTGTTTTATGTAACCGATTTCTTTATTGCTAAAATATATTAGCTTGCATACTATAGTCAGTTAGTAACAGCATAGCACTTTGTACGTACGTACATCAGTTCAGGTTGCCGTACCGCGTCAACACAGAGACGCAACTGTTAATTTAAATGCCACAGTGGGAGCGATAGTAAAAGTATTAGCAGTAATGGAGAAGATAAGGGTTCGAAGACATGTGCAGTTAGATAAAGTTAGAAAGAGAAAGATAGAGATGATGAGGAATTCAGGTTAGAATTTGAGAGAAAACAGAGAATGGATGCACGTAAGGCATTGCAAACGACTTTGAGCCGCGTCATTCAACTTCTCTAACCATCGATGACTTTCGTCTCGTGGACCCCAAGAAGGCAGTCTGCATCTAGCAACATAACACAGTCCAGTTGTCAGTGACTTGATGGATTTGTGCCATGTTTTGGTTTGTCGGCCCCTAACTTTCTTCCAACCTATTCTTACACCACAAAACAGCCCGACGAGGCAGTCGGTGGTTAGGCATACGTAACACATGTCCCAACCACCTCAACTGATGAAGTTTCAATACTTCATCTATTGATTTACCATCTTTACATAGAACTCGTTTCCTAACGACAGCATTGCTTACTCGATTGTCACAGGGTATACGAGCAATGCTTTAAAGACACCCATGGTCGAATACTGATAGCCTGCAAACACACTATCCTAACTGGCCAAGGTTCACACCCACATAGTAGGGTTGAACGAACTGCTGTTCAGTAGGCTCGTCATCTGGTTAGTAGACGGATATCTCTCACGCCATAAGTGATGCAAGTTGGCGAAAGCCAGTCGAGCCTTTTTTATCCGTGCTGAGATTTTGTCGCACACCAGGCCGTCATCACTGATGAGACTCTCAAGAAAAATGAAGTGATCAACACGCTCAACTACTTCACTCTATATGACTAATACGGGTGCCTACGCAAGCCAATCTTGAAGCGACACTTCGCATTTCGAAGGGGAGAATCGCATTCCGATTATGCTTGTATTGTTGCTTAAGGTGGTCAGAAGACTGCATTTTGTCAGCGTCTTCACTAAATAGAGCTATGTGGTTGGCATATTCTAAGTCGACGAGCGAATTTCCTGGTAAAAGTTCAACTTCTGAAAAATCAGATGACAGAATTGTTTTATCTAAAAGCACGTTAACGACAAAGTTAAACAAGAATGGTGGATAAGATTTGTAGCTCAGGTGGATGATTGTGGTAGTGGTGTTTGGTTTTTCTGAGCTGGATGTTTTGGTTGTGGTTGCTATTCTGAACAACATCATCAGCACAAACTTCAGATAGAAGTGAAGCATTAAACAAGAATGGAGGGAGTGGACAGCCCTGACGAACACCACTTGAAGTAATCAATTCTGATGCCAGTTCGCCGTAAGCTCTGACTCGACCATTAATGTTCGAGTAGGAGCCTGTATGAGGTTAATAAAATTGCTTGATACACCTTTCAATGACAGGCACTACCATAGAACCTCACGATTGACAGAGTCTAGCGCTGCCTTAAGGTCGAGGAATACAACAATTGTCGGACGCCGAAATGTGTGTCTGTGTTCCAGGACTTGTGGAAGTGTGAATTTCTGGTCCATACATCCGCGTCCATGTCTGAGATCACTCCACTTCTCGAATCATATCTTCGAACCCTAATCTTCTCCATTACTGCTAATACTTCTACTATCGCTACCACTATGGGATTTGAACTGATAGTTGCGTCTCTATTAGTGCGGTATGGCAACCTGAATCGACGTATGCACGTACGAAGTTCTGCGTTGTATCTATCTGTCTGTCTGTCTGAAACCACTGTAATTTTCTCGAGTCTGCTCTTCATGAGCTTCGGTTGGGCGTCGAAGTATTATCGAGGTTAATATTTTAGACAATATATTAGTTGAACTGCTTCCTCTATGATTGTCACATGGTGACCTTAGTCCTTTCTTATAGATGTGGAAAATGAGTGATTGAGACAAGTTGGATATGGTTACGCCCAATTTCCAGGTTCCAGCTAAGATCGCAGCAAGTCTAACTGCTAAAACTGGACCATTATCGTTGAAAATCTCAGGTTAACCTTGAGTTTTTACTTTTAGTCTCATTGCTCTCCAGTCAACCTGCCTGGTATTGTAGGACCTAAATGAACAGGTGTTCTGGCCAATATAGCTCGGTTGGGTCATCACGACCGGAAAATATGACCAACACGTCAAGGTAGCAGCTATGTTCCAGTTTTTAGACTACCTAGCTAATAAATTTATATATGTAATTGTTTGCTGTTTAGTTTTATCGTAAGTCATTAAAATTGGATATTTTGTGTATCCTTTTGTGTTTCTCCGAATTAGAATAATGATGTATATTTTTATGTAACAGTTAACCTGGCAACCGAATTTTTTATTCTTTATTTAGTACTGCTTACCACCTTGTCTTCACAAATTGATATGAAACATCCGAAATGATTCAACACTTTCTTTTTTTATGATTAATTAGCCTCCTAGCTAGTGTAATTAATCCATGCTTTTACGTTCTAATTTACCTCAGTCAAGGTACTTATTTCGGATACTGAGGTCCGTTGATGTATGGTTTAATCTATTGTCATGACACATCTTATTTGTTTGTAAAACAAAGTGGTACGCACAGTATAAGTCGACAAGAGTAATAAAATGAAATTCATGTGTGTTAAACTCGGTATACGTACGTAGGTGTTCCCATAATTTCTCAATAAACGGAAATTCTTGATACACTAGGTAAGAAACTGAAGAGAACTATTAATTGCTTTTTATGTATTTTTGAGTGCAAAAAGATTTTATAGTATTAAGCTTGTCGCTTAATATAATGTGTTATTCCATTGAAGATTTCTAGAATATTAGGTCTTTAGGATGTTGAGTATTATTTCTTGAAATGGTGCCATGTTTTTTCAAATAATACATGAATGTCAATCTTTCGCAATGGTGATAAAGCTTTCGTCTCAGAACATCGATTTCCCACTTGCTTAGTAATTTATATTTGGATTTCATGTTTAATGACTTCTATATACGATTGAAACATAGATATAATGTATAATTCTTAAGATTTGGTAAGAGATAACTAAAAGCTCTACATGATTTATTATATGATGTGCTTCAGCATCAGAATTAGTTTGCGAGTATATGCAGACATGTTTAGTGGCGATCGAGTAGAGATTGACCATGATCACCACTACATATAAATTACAATCCCGAGTTATTCCATTGTAAAGAATATATTTGCTGGCGATAGAGTGGTATCGAGAGAATACCGAAGTCGTGCCAGAAAAGTGGAGCGAAATTACAGAAACAGTGGGGCCAAAATGGCAGCAACACAAACGGAAAGTTTGCGCGTACCAAGTGTTATAAACGACGAGGTTCAGTAAAACAGCGACTGGTACAATTGGTTATAATAAAAGTGGATTCACTGCACCTGTGTGCAAAATCTTTGATTCATGCTCTTCGTGTGACATTTCGTTGTTATCCTTGGCATATGAGACGTTTAATGTTCTCTTTATTCACACATATCATGTTCCGTATCCTTTAGTTTGTTTGTTAGTACTGTCATCATCATATGATTTATCCATGGGAAATGGCAACTTTATTTTCTGTATCCAGGGAAAGTTTATTGCTGTTGACGGGTAACTAACATTATGCTTCTTATAATCTTTATTATTAGATCATATTTTTTCAGCACTCGCCTATGGGACAGTTTGAACAGATCATTGTTCCTAGACTTCTAGGAATGCTGCTTCTATATAAAAAACAGTCGATTGACATCGTAGACGATTGTTACCGCTTGATGCTTTACAGTTGAATTTTACTAGGTGTTTTTATAACTGACAGCAGCTATGCCTTTTTGAAACAGTGTTGTCCAAATAAAAGTCGTTTATTTTCGTAACTATATTTCGGTTGCTGGTATCTCTTCTGTACTTCGTTTTGCGTTCTTCTCTACTGTTTTACGAAATTTATTGGTTTTCAGTGTATTTGAAATGGGAAGAGAAT